TATATATATATATATATATATATATATATATATGTATGTATATATATATATATATTATATATATATATATATATATATATATATATATATATATATATACATATATATACATATACATATACATATACATATATATACACATACACACACATATATGTGTGTGTGCATGTATATGTATGCTAGAAAAAAAAAACATTTTGGGTTTTTCATAGTATCAACACGGTAGAGTTTTTCCATTCATGTATATGTATGTATGAATATATACTTTGGTATATGTATATATATTCTAGCTGTCCATTTCATGTACACACCTATATTTCCTTTCTGTAAACTCATGGTCATGTATGTATGTGTACATGGTAAACATTACATTTATATGTACTGTACTAGGTTTCTCTTGCGTATTTATTTTTTTGTTTCGAATTCCTTGATTAATAAAGGGGGATAGCGCGAACGCAGTCCCCCGCTACCAAAAATTGCGCACTCGAGTTAACCACATTTGGGTTAATCGCAGGGGTCAGCGCCACCGGAGTGCAATGGTGAGCCTCGCCCTGGGAGAACCGCCTTCGTGATCACGGTATCTCCTGTGCCAGGTAAGTATGCTATGTACACTGCCGCGTCAACTCAGACTCACAAGTACTGAGAAGACCATCCGTACATAAATACTTTATACAATTTTTAAGTAATTATTTGGATTACAAAAGCCATTACCTGATATCTAATTACGTTTAATATTTTAAGATATTAAGTAAGGAAAAAATACACATAGCTTTCCAAGAATAAGGTTATATGAAAAATAAGTGAGCAAATCTCGGGTACAATGATAAGCCTTTAACTGTACTTTAAACTTTATTCATGTACAAACTAAGGTAACTTCGGAAGTTTTATATGGATGTTTTAAGAACTTCTGACATATTACCTCCTAGTTTATTGGTGATATTGAAAATTAAACAAAAACATAAAACTTCCAAGAGTTACCCCGTGCATCTTTCCCGCGCTGCTAGGCAGGGATGTCAGCTTTTCTGTAGCAGTATTTATACCGTTCTCTAAATATCAAATGATAAAGAAAACGGGTATAGAAAACATTAGACTATACACTATCATAAACGATGAATTGTTACAGTGCAGAAGATCAGAGTACAGTGATTTTAAGATTCCCTATGTTACGTTCTTGTTTATTACACTGCATAAAACAGTATTCAATAAATAAATTACCAAGCCAGTAATGTAATATTCAGCGTCTCCATAAAAAATGTATTAAAAGTATGACTTGAGAAAATACGACATTGAACCTATGAACCTATTTATCTCTATAGTATACGAGTATTCATGGTGTGTTGTGGGCTGAAGGTTTAATGTCACTCAGGGCCGGTGCTAGGAATTGCGGGGCTCAATTAGAAAGGTGATGGTGAGGCCCCTATTCTACATATTAGAATATATAAATGTTTATATTGCAAATAAACAAAAAACGAATAAACATTAAGTGCTTGGTATAATAAATTTTTGAAGGGCAATATGAAAAAAATACTTTTAATACAGAGAAAGGCAATTACAGACATACTCTTTTAGAAAAAAGACTTTTCTATTTTTTATTTGCAAAATATTTTCAAAGTCACAGGCTTTAGCAATCTCGTTTTCTATAGATAGCATCGCCAAATTGTTAAGTCTCTTTTGTAAGACCGTAGACCTCAAATGTTTTGATTAGTTTCAGCTTTGAAAAACTTCTTTCCCCTGTTGCGACTGTTAATGACATTGTTAAATCCACAAAGCACTGAAAGCATTGAAAAATGCTGTAAAAATATTGCTCTCTATCCAATATTCTGGAGGGAAGGAAAGATTTCAGAGTTTCAAGTTCTTCAGCCAACAGATACCCATCAACGTCTTTATTTTTCAGTATTTTTTTTTCAGCGCGGGGCCCCTTCAGGTGCGGGGCCCAATTTTATTAAAACCGGCCCCATGGGACTGTGGCTCTGCCCGGTTAGAAGACCAGCTGAAGCAACGTTCGGTCATACCAGGATGGTTTCAGCAATTTTCATGTTTATTTGAACATAGGAAAGTATCTCATTATTCACTCATGTGTGTACGAGAAGCAACAGAGTAAAAGTCGTGCCACAAGAGCTACCCTAGTGTTCGGGGCCCCTAGTCTCGCTCAACACTGTTGCTCCTGAGTTTAAATAAAGTAAAAAGTAGAGCAAATCCCTGTTAATTATAGAGTTTTCAACCCTTTGTCCTTCGACTGCACCCTCAGTGCAGTCGTAGTCAGCACCCCACCTCAAATCCGCAGCACTCTTCTACACCAGGGTACCCCTTACGGGCTGCAACCCCTGGGTAGTGAGGCCCAGTCTCAGGCGTACTTGGGGCGTACTTTCTTTTTCTTTGATTTCTCTTCTTTTCTTCATGTGAGTTCCTTGGGCCTTGGGCCGGAGTTCCCTTGCGGGCTCCCGTATTCGCTTGGGGGTGGGCATCTACTTAACGTCTTTCGTCTCGGCAAGTTCGGCGGTGAGGAAATGCCCTCCACATAACTCGATCCCTTCGTGGTATTGGAGACGCAACCAGATTTCCACTGAGGGGCCAGAGGACGCATAACTGCCATACAGTGAACCCTCGCTATAACGCAGTTCACCTTTCACGTTCTCGCTGCTTCACGGATTTGTATTGTGCATTGTGTTCTGCATTCTGACTGGCTAAACAGTCTCTCCGCTTCTTCTCTACCTGCGTGTCAGTAACGTCACGGTTTAATATGTACATGTACGTAAAACAGCTTGCCAAATTTAAGTTTGCAAATTTTCTCTAAAACTCACGAAGCCTTCAGTTCGTATCGATTATTAAAATCATTATTTTACAGTACAGTACTTATTTGTAAAAAAAAAAAAAAAAAAAAAAAAAAAAAAAAAAAAAAAAACGTTTATACAGTACTTTTATTTGTTAAACAAATGCCTGGGCCTGTAAAAAGGTTTGGTTCTTTGGTTTCAATGCATTATAGAGTATTTCATTGTATAATAATTGTAAATATATATATATGTATGTGTGTGTATATATATATATATATATATATATATATATATATATATATATATATATATATATATATATATATATATATAGGTTACTGCACGGATTTCGCCTATCACGGGTTCTTTTTGGAACGTAACCCCCGCGAAAAACGAGGGTTCACTGTACTCTCTCTTAGCTATTGTTGATAGGTTGATAATAGTTAAGGGTCGGACTTGGTCCGATATCCAGCATGATTGATCCCCCGACTACCCCTGCTTCTCCCCAAGGAGCGGGGACGACCCATGACCGATCTTCGACCTATTCAGCTATGAACAATGGAACCCCGACTGACAGACCCAGAAGACCACTTCAAAATCCCTCCAGAGAATGCAAGGTTCGCGAATGTTAAATGCGTGAATGAAAATCAATCGCTTTTGAACGTGACGCCCTTATCATCAAAAAGATCCTTGATGATCAAGTGGACGACGATTTTGATTTTGTTGTTTAATTGCGAGATGGAAGCCTCTTGTTAAAATACAATACAACTCCCAGATTAAGGATTTACTTAAGCTGACACAAATTCATGATATCTGAATTAAAGTAGCTATTCCTATCGGCCCAAATACCTGTAAGGGAGGAATATTTCACAGGGATATGAGGACGATGGAAGGAAACTCGAGAGAGAATGAAGGACCGAGACGTAGTGGACGTCCATTGTAAGACCAAGGACGGGAATGTGCGAACTGGACTGTTTTTTTTGTTTTTTTTTTCTTACCTTTGCAGTAAGCTTATTAACGATTTTGATTTAGTACTTCTTAACGATGGTAGTCCGGCGTGGGTGGACGATAATACCGGTACTTTGATTCTTATTAACCTGTTTCTGGCACACCATTGACGACTCGTTGGGAAGCGACCACTTTCCTATATGTATTAGATATTCATGCGACACATGAACGCCTTCAGTACCTAAATCTAACGTCTCTCCTGTCCTCTGTATTTCTTTTTTTTCATTCTCTTTCTCTTTCTTTTGTTAATGCTTTCATTCATTCATTCATTCACTCTCTCACTCTCACTCTCTCTTGATTTGAGGTTAAAAAAGGGCGTGAATGTGACAAGAGACATAATTCCTTTCACTTGATGTTTGATGCACAAGACCTTTCTGTAACAGTTTTGTATAATACGAAATTATAGACAAGTTTCCTTAATACACTTCCTGAGAGCATATGAGAAACACTATATGACAGCTATTGTGAAAGACTTTTTTGACATGTTTAATGAACTAGAAATTGATGTTACATGCAATTGTTCATGGGAAATTATTTGGGGAGGTGTCATGAGTAGGAACCAAGCAGAACCCTAGGACCGTGCAGCATATGACTTCCAATTGATCTTCTGGTTGTGGCAGTTGCAGACCTCTTGAAACCACAGTATGAATGTAGACGTGCTTGCTCTCAGATAGGTTTAGGAACTGTAAGAAAACTATGTATATCATTCACAGCAGGAGGAGAACTTCTTCCATCATCATGAAATTTTGCAAGTGCTCTATGAATAATGGTAAAACTTCTCGGTAAAGTATATTGCATTGTCTCCAGTCTGGGAGTAAGAGGTTAATGTGTTAGTTACATTTCTGCTGAAGATGTCTTTTTCAGTGCATTTAGGTCTGAAATGATTAATTTTTTGGTTGAATATTAGAGTTAATCAAATATTTGGACACTAGTATAAGAAAAAGCAGAAATTTTAATATTTGTATGAGACTGTAGCTAAAGTGGTCTACTTACATTTTATTTTTATTTACCAATAAAGTTTTAAAGTAATATTTGCAGACAAATAATAAAAACAAAGTATGTTAATTTGTGTTTTTTTTAATTATATCAACAGGGTGGTGTTTGTGATTCCTTCATTAATTGCAAAAAGACATCACTTACCCCTTTAAAATGTAAAAAGAAATCAAATTAAAAATATATATTTTCAAAGATAAGGAAGCCTCTCAATTAACACAACACATATATACTATGACAGTTTATTTTCTCTAAGTTATTAATATCTAGAAAACATGGGATGTGTGAAGACGTAGCAACCATGTTGGATATGAAAGTGGTACTCGAGTCGGTCCTCACTGACGGGAACGTGACTCAGGGGCTCTGGCAACAAATCAACCTTGAAATCATAACACATTGGCTGTGTTTTACCAGGGTGCAGGAACAGCCACCTCAGTGACTTCTAGCTCTCGTTATATTATGCTATAATAACAAAATACATTCCACGAGATTGAAACAGACAAATATAATAAACTCAGTATTTTTTTATTTTTTTTATTTTTTTTTCTTTAGGCTATTTGGCCAAGCCTTCCTGCTAGCCACCCACACTTAGCTCAGTTCTGCTAGGGAAATAACATTGAAGTATCTGACAAATGTACAAATTATCAATATCAAGCCCAATGTAGGAATATGAAATACCCAAAAGTCAATTTTAACAAGGAAACTGAACTCGAAATCCATATATGGTACATTGATAAAATGATTCCTTCATAAATATGTATACTGAGAGTTCAAAATTCAAAGGAAGGAAATTCAGGAACAATCAATACTATCAATATCTTTCAAAAGATACTCAGGACAGAAAAAAAGTAGAAATAAAAGCCATAATACAGATCTTCCAAGTACCTCCTGCTAGTACTGGGCTAGTCCTACTAGTGGTCCCTAGCATTACCTCTTTGACCAGTGGCAGAAAACAATGCAACGTTTGGACAGCCTCTCTAGTGATAATTCTCTAGAGCAAAAAAAACAATCACTTCTTTATTTCCATGTTTAGGCAATTTTTTGAGCTATTGAGTAGTAAAGGTAAGATTCCATTCACTGGGTTTCTTCGGGAAGACTTCTTGTACTCCCAAACAGTGAGCTGTAGAGCCACTGGTCCCTCTAATTGCTCTGGTGAATGATGATAGCAGGGGTACTGTACTCACTAATCACAAGTCCAGAAAATGATCGTTAAATATCAATAATTTATAAACTAGGAACACTATACACAGAAAATAAGAGTTCTTTTACAAATTATTTCTACACAATATACAAATTTTCCTCATTGCTATCTAATGGGAGACTGGTGTCATTTGTATGACATACTACTGCTAGATAAAAGCTTCAAACATTACCTGACCCTAAATGTGGTCTTGGATGACAAATGCATAAAGGAAGCATCATGGTATCCATGAAAATAACATATACCTCATACATCACCTATGGGAAATTCTGGTGACTTTTACATGTAAACTGCTTTTCTCAATATTAATCCACACAAACACACAAAGAGTGGCTCAATGGCAAGTATTCACAATGTGAAAGATCCTGCTAAAATCTCCCAAATCTA